GGGGGGGGGGGGGGGGGGGGGGGGCGGATGGACATGCGTGCGGTGGCGACCACGCACTCGGCCGAGTGGTCGCGCGTGATGAGGAGGCGCTCGTCAGCGCAATCCAGCGCCACAATCGGGCCGGCACCAGGGGCATCAAGGTCGACGATGCTCGCGGCGGCTGGGGCCCGCGCAGCAAGCAGCCCTGCCTGCCAGGGCCCGAGGACCGCGCGGCCCGGGCCGAGGGCCGGGCTCACCAGGCCCAGTGGCAGGGATCGCACCAGCGGCGGGCCAACCACGGGCGGCCGTGCCCGCGGACCAGGCCCCGGCTTGTGCCCGGGACACCGGTCGCCCGGCGCCGAGATGGATGCCCTGTCGATGACCGTCCCCTCGGGGAAGTAACGTCGACGGACCGGGTCGTAGACAAACCCCGGCAGGGCCGGGGCACTGGGCACCGGGTCGGCCGGAGGGGGGGCCGGAGGGGGGCCCGGCTTGGCTGCGGCCCGTTGGCCGGCCGGACTCCCCAGGGCGCCCGGGTCCACCCAGCGAGGGGGCGCGAAGAGCGACTCCGCCTGCCGGTGGTGCTCCGGCCGTGGGGGGGCGGGGACCGTCTCGCCGGTGGCCGGTGGCCGTGGCGCGGCCGAGCTCCGAGGGTCCTCTCGTCGGCCGGAACGCCGGCCACATGTTGGCCGCGCGCGGGCTGGCCGGGAGTGGCGGCCAGCGCGCCGGCCTTGGCCAAGCGGATCGGTCATCAGATCGCCGCAGGCGGCCGGGACAGGAGGCGAGGAGGATGTGCAACACGAGGGGAGCCGGAAGGAGAGGAAAAGAAAGGAAGAGAGAGAGGGGGGAGAGAGAGGGCGCGCGCGCACGCGCACACGAGGCAATGAGACCGACCGGGGCGGAGATGGGCGCATGGGAGAGGAAGTCCGCCGAGGGGTCGCAAGAATATGTCCCGGTGTCATGGCAGCCATGCATGCCATCTTTCCCGCAGGAAAGGCATTGGACAGCAAACTGCGAGGCCTCCCCCCTTCCGCCTGCCCCCCTCCCTCCTTGCCCTTGCCCCACGGTCGAAGACGCGGGGGGGGATGTCGAGATCTCAGGCGCTTCCCAGGGCGGAGGGGAGGGGGGGGGGGGCACGCTGCCCATGGAACATGCGTTGGCACTATGCGCGGCTCCGGTGCCCGGCCAAATGTTCTCCCACCTTCCGCCGGCCCGGGGCAGGGCAACCAAACGGGCGCCGGGGGGGGGGGGGGGGGGACGGGCCACACACGCCGCGCGCCCGACCCGCGCGAGCATGCGCACCCGCGCCAAAGAGCCGGGAAGGCCGGCCAGGGCGTGTGTGTACGTGTGTGTGTGTGTGTGGGCGGGGGCAGGCAGGCCCGCGCCCAGTGCCGGTGGGCCCGACCGGTGTCAGGGTCCAGGCACATAAAACTTTCGGCCCCGTCCCAAGACTAGGGGCGCGCGGTCACACCACCCTTCCTCTCCCTCCCCCCTACTCTCACCCTCCTGCACCTGCGCCCCTTTGCATCTGCGCCTCCCTCATCCCGTCGCACACGCTCCTCCTCTGTCCCTTCGCCACCTCTCCCTCGGACCGCCGCCGTCCGACCGCCTTGTGTGCCCGCCCTCCCCCCTCCTTCTCCCTCTTTCTCTCCCTCTCTCGAGACACCATGAGCGCCATTCAGAACGACTTCGAGTCCCCCGAGCTCAAGGACTACCTGTCTAGGCTCATCTCCAACTATTTGTGCGTGCCCCGTCGCTTGCGCCCCCCCCCCCCCCCCCTGCCCCATGCCTGGCGGGATATCACCAACATCTGACCGACGTCTCGTGTGCCCCCCCCCCCCTGGTCTTTCCGTGCACGCATGGCCTCTTGCCCAACCACACACACACACACACACACACACACACACACACAAACACACACAAACACACGCACGCGCACATACGCGCGCGACAACAGCCAGATGGAGAACCCCGGTGACTTCGTCGCCTTCGTTGTGGAGATCCTCCGCATGGACACCGAGGACCTGAACGAGGTCCTGATCAAGCAACTTTTCGAGTCCTCCAAGCAGGGCGGTGCGCCAATCCCCAACAATTGCACAGTTCCTGCCTTCGGCCTCCCTCCTCCGCCTCCCCACGACCGCCCTCTCACCTCCCTCCCTTGTGCCGGATTCCCCAGATGATGAGGTTGACCAGAAGGCCCTGGAGGCCATCCAGCACTTTGTCAGCGCGGTTTTCAGCTCTCTGGGCAAGTATCTGCCCGGCTTGAAGGCCCTCCATGGCCGCGATGGCTCTTCGGCCCCCGCGGCCCCGGCCCCGGCTGTCCCCCCGACCCTGTCTCCTGCCCTGGCTGTGCGTGGCCCTCCCTCGCTCTTTCCCTCTGCTTCTCAGCCGCCCGCCTTGGCCACATGCAGCTGCCATGTCTCACCCTCTCTCTCTCTCTCTCTCCCGGGCAACCATGCGTGAACATTGCCCCCTCCCCCCCCCCCCGGCCCCCATGCCCGCAGTCCACCACCGACTCCTACGACGCCGACATGTTTGACGATGTTGACGACTCGGCAGCCGGGTCCGCCTCATCGCCTCCCTCTTCGGTGGTCGGCTCGGCCCCCAAGGCCAACCCATACATTGGCCAGCCACAGCCCCACTCGCTGATGAGCCGGATCACCGTTCACCCGGGCTCGCGTCTCAACACCACCCTGCTCGGCAACAATCGCGGCCGGCGTGGGCGCGACGGCAGCCCGGTCGGCAACCGCCACGAGTACGTCGCCGCAGCGTCCGATGCATTCCCTCTCCCCTCCCGCACGCACGCACGCACGCACGCACGCACGCACGCATCCATACATCCACAGATGCACCTATTTCCCCATCTGGCTGACTGTTTGACACACGCTCTGCTCTTCTCCCCCACAGCCAGCGCGGCCCGCGTGGCAACCAGCCTGGTGTCGGCAACCGCCGGCAGCATAACCCCCGCGACGTGGCCGACAGCTCGACCATTTCCGTGATCAAGCTCTCGCCAAACCGCTGCAATGTCAGCTCCATCAACCGCCACTTCTCCCGGTTCGGCACCATCGTCGGCATCCAGGTGAACCCGAACATGGGCCAGGCGCTGGTGACCTTCGCCGACCGGGAGGAGGCCATGGCTGCCCTGCGGTCGCCGGCCTCGGTCCTCGGCGACCGGTTCATCCAGGTGCACCGGTCGTCGCTGACCTTCCAGTCCCGGTCGCAGGATGAGGACTGCATCATCGCCGATGCGGCCGAGATCGCCGCCCAGGCCACCACGCGTCCCGCCGCCCGGACAGGCTCTCATCCTGCCGCGCAGGAGAACCGCCGCATCATCGTCACGAACATCCCCCCGTCTCTCTCTTCACAGGAGGCCATTACTCGGCACTTCGAGCGCTTCGGCAAGACCCAGCGCGTGTCCATCTCCCTAGCCGCCCCGGTCACGGCGATCGTCACTTTTGTGGATGGCCCATCTGCCAAGGAGGTGCGCCCCACTTGGCATTGGCACATGCCCCTCCCCCCCCCCCCCCCCGCCACCCATCACAGCCCGCTTTGTCCAGGCCCCTCCTCCCCGTCCCTGACCCTGACCATCTGCCCTGCATTCTTCGCGCCCGTCGCCATGCGCGCCTGACAGGCCGTTGCCAAGGGCTTCAAGTCCGAAGCCGGCGAGATCATGAGCCTCCGCTGGGCCCCGCCGAAGGGCGCGGCCCCGGTGTCGGTCAGCCAGTTTGGCGCCCCTTCGCAGCATCGCTCGGCGATTTTCGCCCCCTCGCCAGCCCTCACCAGCACGGTCACCATGCAGGATGCCCCCGAGGAGAACGCCGACGCGCCCGGCCCCGCCGGCAGCAGCGATGCCACCCCGGCCGCCGACCCGTCCGGTGCCTCGGTGATGGCCGACTTCTAGGCATGCTGAGATGGCATATCCTGAACGCACACCCACGCACACACACACACATATATATATATATATTTCAGCCATATTTATATATATAAAAAGATTTATATATCTACACATTGCACACAACCGCGCATGCCTCGGAGCTCTGTATACGCCCTTCGGAACACCCTGTGCTGCCGAGCCACACCTCCTTCTCTCTTTCTCTCTGTCTCTCTCTCTCTCTCGCCCCTTTGTCTTTCCGCCTCTCCATCCTCGTCCTACCGTCCTTGAGAACCGCCCTCTCCTTCTGTTTGCTTTGTTCCCTTTCCGCCTGGCGTCGGCACCCTGTGTTCCTGCCTGCCAGCCCCCCAATGTACTTCCTTTTGTTCCTCTGTCTCTTTCCCCCTCCCCCACCCCCCGTGGCATGGTGTCCCCGAGCGAGTGCCCACGCCGAGTTGCTGGAGCGCAGTGGATCGGCCGCGCATGCCGGCCTCCGCCTTCCCCCGCCATCCTATCCCGCCGTGGACCTTTGGGAGGAAAGACACCCCCCTCGACGCAACAGTCAACCATGTCCCTTACACGCCGCGGGCCGAAACAACGATGGCATATATTCCCTGCCTTTGCCTGGCACAGGGGCGCAGAGGGGGGAGGGGGGGAGGGGGGGGGGCATGTAACACAAGGACAGATTGGGATGGCAGTGCGGAAACCCAGGGGGAGGACATTCACACGCATCGCCCCTCTCCCGCGCTCGCTCGCACTCTTTCTCGCTCCCTCGCGGGCAGACGCGCTCTGGCGGGGGCTTTTGCGGCACATGCACGCACTTGGCCTCCTGTCGCACTCGCGCTCGCACCCACGCTCGCGTGCCTGCTTAAGGGCTGCCACCGGGCGGGGGGTTGGTGATCCACGGGTGCGCGAGAGCCTCGGAGGCGGTCAGCCGCTCGGCCGGGTCCTTGACGAGTAACCGCGAAATGAGGTCCATGGACTCGGGCGAGCGCATGCGCCACGCCGGGGCCCCATAGTGGTATTGGCAGCGGATGATGCGCCGGAGCTGGCCCTGCTCCCCGGGCAGATCCTCGCCCTTGGGGCAGGGCTGGTGGTAGCAGCCCCCCGGGCCGTAGTCCTCCCCGAAGGGGGATGTCAGCGAGAGCATCATGAACAGCACCACGCCACAGGACCACACATCGAACGGGGGCCCATGGGCATGGTCGCCAATGAAAACCTCCGGCGGCATGTAATCCAACGAGCCGACTTGGGACTTGGCATAGGCCGCACGCCGGGCCGCCCGCGCGGCCGACTGCTTGCCCCGCATGATGACCACCTGGTCGCCGAAGGGGGCCTCGGCCCCCTCGGGCCCCAGGGCACTGCCAGAGCGGCACTGGCCCTCCTGGAGGGGCTGCTCCTGCTGCAGGGCCTCCTCGGCCTGGGGACCGGACGCGGAGCGGGTGCCGTCGCTGTGGCTGCCGCTGCCGCCGCCGCCGCCGCCAAGACCCGGCCCCGCGGCCAGGGGGCTGTCTCCCAGGGGCGGACTGCTCTCCGACGACCCGGGCGGCGTAAGCGGCAGCCGGGTGGCTGGCCCACTGGCGGCCATGCCGCCGGGCCCGAGGTGGCGGGCCGCTTCGTCCTCCTCCTCCTCCTCCTCCTCCTCGGTGTCGGTTTCGGCATCGTCGCTGATTGGCGTGGACACGCCCTCCTCGGCCGGCTCCAGCAGGGGGGACGTCTCGCCCTGGGCGTGGAAGTGGGCAAACTCCTCATCGGTCAGAGCGCGGACGACGCCGAAGTCACACAGCAGGATCGAAGAAGGGTCATTCGGGTCGGCAATCAGGATATTCTCGAGCTTGGAGGGAGGATGGGCAGATTCGGAGTCAGGATCATGCGCATCGTGGCCGGTCACAGGGCGCCGCAGGCGCCTGACGAGCACGGGCCAGACGGAGAGGGGCGGCGGGGGGCGGAGGGAGGGGGACACGACAAAGGGCGGAGGATGCTGACTCCCGGTGCATACCTTGATATCCCGATGGATGAGCGGGATATTGTGGATGAAATCCACCGCCTCAAAGAGATTGCGCATAATGCGCGAAGTGAGCGCCTCGCCGAAGCCGCCATGGTCGATGAGCACATCGAACAGGGTCCCGCCACGGGCACTGCGAGCGGGGAGTGGCAGTGCGGCAGTGTGGGCGAGGGGGGAGGGGGGGGTCAGACGGGGGGGATCGAGTAAAATACGCTCGCCATGACAAGGGGCATGCGCCAAGCCGGGCCCGGTGTCGGTGCAGCACCGCGAAGAGGAGCAGGAGAGGAGGGGCGCAAACACGCACAGGTCCGTTCGAAGAAGCAAAAAGCGCCCATGCGAGATGGTCTCCCGCAGGCAGATCATGCCCGGGTGATAGCCGGCGGCCTTCATGGCGGCGATCTCGTTGTCCAGGCGGCGGCGGTTGCGAATGCGATCGGTGAACACCACCTTGACGGCAAAGCGCCGGCGCTCGGGCGTCCGCTCGACAGCCTCATAGACTTCGGCATAGGCGCCACTGTGACGGTGGCCGGAAGGGTCAGCACACGGGGCGAGACCGGGCCACTGGCCGGGGGGGGGGGGGGGGGGGGGGGAAGGGACAAAGGGCCGGGCGAGGGCGGGGAAGGGGCCCATGGCCGCCAGGACGAGAGGCAGAGAGACGGGGGGGGATCGAAGACACCACGCACAAGCCCAAGACTCGAACGATCTCGTAGCGCTCCAGGAAGTCCGGCGGGAAGGCCGGCAGCGGAATGTGCTTGGTCCCGGGGAGGGACAGCCGCCGCCGGGCCTTCTCAGCCTGGGCGGCGGCCAGGGCCACGCAGGGAGATGTCGGCGGTGGCGGCGACTCGACCACCAGCAGCTGATCGAGCGCATGACCGAGGAAGAGCCCGGACACCGGGCGCGTGACGGACAGGCGCTTGGCCGCGCGGCGCTTGAGGTTCTCCAACTCGGACAGCTCGCCCACCGGCAGGCTGATGCCGGGGAGGGCGGTCAGGTCGGCGGCCGGGCCGATGAGATCGCCCTGCGAGTCGGCCCGGGTCAAACGCGAGAAGGCGTCCATGAGGGCCGGATCGGCGAGACGCAGGCGCCCGACCGGGCCCTGGTGCAGGGCCGCCGTCCGGGGGATGGCCACATCCGCCGGCAGGGGAGCCGCCCCGCCGGCCGGGGCCTCGGCCAGCCGGGCCATGTCGTCAGCCCCCAGGGAAGGCCCGAAATCCGAGAGACCAGTCGTGTGGGACCGGGTGAGGGCCACACGCCGGGGCCCGGCCGGCAGATCATTGTCCGAGGGGGCGTGGGCCGGGGGGGCGGGCGCGAGGGGGCTCTTTGGCCTGGCCGGCCCGGGGGCCGCGCTGGCCGCATGGCGGCGCGCCTTCTCAATCAAGGAGAGGCCCGGGGGGCCGGGCGATGCCGGGGACAGGCAGCCCCCGCCGGCGAGTGGGTCCACCGGGACGACAAGGTGCAGCTGCGAAGGGCGCGCCGGGGCACCGGGGCGCTTTGTGGCGCTGACAGCATCGCCGGTCATGGTGGTGGCTTTTCAAGCAGAGGACGGGGGAGGGGGGAGGGGGAGGGGGGGGCGGCGGAGGGAGGTGGCGGAGGGCGAGATTGGGCTGGCAAATGAAGGTGGATGGCCGGTGCCGGGGCACGACCGCGAGCGCCGTGGCTGAAATGTGGCCCCCACTCTCGTGGGCCAGGCGCGGGCGCGATCTCGGCCCGTGGCCAGGCCGCCTCTGCCTGGCGGAGGACCAGGGCGGGAGACACGCCGAGGGGGAGATTGGCCGGCGCGCCACACCGGGCCAGGATGAACGAAAGGACCGGCCAACGGGTAAACAGAAATATGACCGTTGCCGAGCCGAAGATCGGGCCAAACGCCCCTGATCGGGCCGTGCGTGCCCATAGCGCCGGAGGCAACACCTCGGCCCCCAGTGGGGGGGTGGGGGGGGGGGGAGGGGAAGGCGGGGCAGGGGCGAAGCATGAAGCCGTGTGTGTGACACACGCGAGCCGCGGATCATTGTCGCCCGGTGGATTCTCGGGTGGGCAGGGATCTCGCGAACGCCTGGCCCCGGTGGCGGCCCGGGGCCGCGCGGATCGCCTTGAGACTGGCCGCACTGTACCACGATGACTGCACCGCTGCAGCCGCCAATGCTGACAAACCAACACCAGTGATGGGGTTATGTGTTATTGTTGTTGTTGTTGATGCTGCTGCTGCTGCTGCTGCTGCTGCTGTTGTTGTTGTTGTGCTCGCGCTCCTCACCGCCGGCCGGTGTTGGATGGCGCGATCTCCATTTGGATGGGGGGCAGTGCCCTCCGGGCTGCGGAGAGAGCAGCACAGAACAAAGGACATCCGACAGTGGGGGTGCATGGGAAAGCCAACCACTCCGCCGCGCATGAAGTCGGCCCCGGCGACCGGGGACACGCGCGCCCGGAGTTGACACATCCGCCGCGCGGCAGCGCCTCGCCGGTTGGAGGGGGGGGCGGGCAGAGGGGCAGGACCGAGTACAAAAAGCCCCCCGCCCCTCCCCCCCACGGGTCCGCCAAATTACCCGCCTCCAACCAATCAGCTTCCCAAGGTGCGTCGCCTCTGCCCCGCCCCGCCCCGTGGCAGCCGCGGCTCCCCCCTCCCCCTGTGGCATGCCCGGACACGCCTGTGGGTGCTGTCTGTTGGGGGGACGCGCTACCGCCGGCGCCCGCCCCCTCTCCCACCCGGGCCCAGCCGTCCCGGGGGGGGGGGGGGAGGGGGGGAAGCGAGAATGCGGGACAGATCTGGTTGAGGGGGATCCGCATAGGCAGGCAGGGGGAGCAATCGCAGCATCGATTCACCCGCCCCGGGGCGGGGACAGCATGCCTGTGTGTGCCCCCTTCCCACACACACACACACGCACACACACACACACAGGCATACATCCCAGCCCCAAGTTGCGCGCGCGAGTCTCGCTTGCGGGCCCCATCGGCCGCCAGTGACGCAGTCTTGGGGGCCGAGCTCCGCCCTGCTCACGCAGCAGCCGGCGGACAGGCCGCGCCAGCCAGAGGCACGCGCACATGCGTGCGAAGCGTCCCTGCCTCCGGGGAGATCGAAAGAAAAGCGATCGGTCGAAGGACAGGATGTGTCCACGCGCCGGGGGGGGGGGGGGGGAGAAGGGATGTTCGCCGGGGGGCGGGCCGGGGGGAGATCGCCGGCCGGCATATGCGGGAGGCGGCGCGCCGACAGGCACAGGGGCAGGCAAGAGACACCGGTGCGGGGGGTATGCTGTACCATGTGACACTCGGGCTCGGAGCGATAATGATGTTCTTCAGCGGCGTGGCCGCGTGCGCCTGTGTCAAACGAGTCGGACCCTTTGACCGCATGCGCCCGGAGACGGTCCCCTCCCTCCGGGCGTGGAGTGCCGTTGTGTGGGGGGGGGGGGGGGGGGGGGCGCACCCGCACGCCCGGAGGGTGACAGCCACCACAGGGCACACACCGGCGACTAACAGGCGACACACGCATGTGACGCAGACGCACACAACGCACGAAATGGCCGCCCCGGGCCGCCCTGGCCGGCGCGGCGCACACACACCGAACGGTCCGGCGTCATGGGGATATGAGGTCCTCGCGTGCCGGCCACACAGGGCGCCCGTTCGCCAGCATCGCCCGGGACACGCCGCCTTGTCCGTGCCCAGCCCCGCCTCCCCTCCCCCCCCGGCCCCTCGGGGGGGCGGCCGCCGCCGGGGCCGGTGAGGCAACGGTACAAGTTGGGCCGAAGCGCCAGCCCGCGAGGCAACCATCCGCCGGTCTGATCTCGCGCACGAGAGCCCGGGGCCTGGCCCAGCCCGGGCCCTGCCTCCCGGTTTGAGCGTGTGCATCTCTCCCCGGGGCAGAGCGGCGGGCACACACGCCCATGATGGCGAGCAGAGCTCCGTGGGGAACGGTGTACATTCCCCAGTATGGCGGTGGAGCGCACGTGCATGTGCTCTCACGTGCCGGGCCCGGGACTTTGTGCCGCCAGCGGGGGTCCCCCGTCTGGACATCCCGGCTCCTGCCCCCCCGCCTCCTGTGAGGGGCGGGCTCCACACCGCCGGGCTCCTCCTCCGATTGGTCCTGGTATTGCGTTGTGCCGCTGCTCTCGCGGGCCCCCGGCTTGGCCTCGGCTGCGGGCCATAGAACCGCAAACGGGCACTCCTCCAGCCCTTTCAAGTGGGAGATTCAATTGAACGAGAAGACCGCGGCCGGTCGGCTCACGGATGCGCACCCTGGGTGGCGGCCCGGCCTGGG